CGACTTATAAGCTGAGAGGTCAGTTTTTACTGTTTTTGTTGAGTAGTTTTTTCAGAAAAATTTGGACCAAGTGATTGCAAATTTATTGGTATTTAAATGCCATTGCAGATTTTTTTCTTGTTATTTGGTACCCTGTCAATATATGCTTCATCAACATCTATTTGGACCAAATATTTTAACTGATAATGGTTAAAAAAAATTTTAGCAAATATTTAAAGGTAGTGGAATAGAAGTATATTCAAATCTTAAATAGTCTATATTTGTTCAAAATCTAGTAGGTCACAACTGAATAAGTTTATAGAAATAGTTTGTGAAAGGTATTGGTAAGTTGAAAATGGAGGGAATGGAAATAATACAAATATAGAAAAGCTTATAAAATGTTTAAACACATTGTTAGTGAAGTTTCTTATTATATCAAGATAATGTAAAATTAGCTACTTACGGATTGTAAAATTGGATTTCAAGCTGCCTATTGAATAGAATTGTAACTTGCATTAAGTTGGCTCTTTTTTTATAATATTATCATTAATAATACACAGCAAAGCGATCAACTGTTGCGTAACAGGTAATGTACGCGATTTTGGCGCACAAACATGTGATCGAAACACGTTACTACAAGGATAGCAACGGTCGGCTATTTTCGGTTAGCCGTTTTGTAGTTGTTAGCTGTATCTCGTGATCCAGTGATCATTCAATGTGTCTCATTGAGATGAATCAAATGGTGCTAAAATAATCCAATTTGGATCGCTGGATCTCGAGATACAGCTAACGGCTACAAAACGGCTAGTCGAAAATAGCCGACCGTTGCCATCCCTGTGCTATATCCTTTTGTATAGTAATTTTCATTACTTCATTTCTCCTTAATGCTATTTTCCCATTATGATATTTCTTGTAATAGTTAATTCTATCGTTTTCCATACCTCATATTATATTGTGTTAAAGTATATAAAGGATCGTAACTTGTAAAGTGAAGGGAGAATGATCGCATATATAACAAATATACAATAAATTGTTCTCCTATTATAAAAAACCACCTCCTTTTAATATCTAATGTTTACAGCTTAAAGCTAAATTTGGCGACGCAATTCATAAATCTCCCCAAGTCGTGATTCCCTACCGAGTACAAATAGAATTCTCATTAAAAATTTTTATATTTAAATTTTTATAAGTACTTGAAAAAAATACCCGGAATTACATTTTAACATATTTTTGATATTATAAATATAAATTTTAATAAAGTAAAAAATACATATACTGTATTAAAATCAGATTTCAATACAAATTATTCTTTTTTCACTCATTATTTTAAAAATAAATATAATACTGCTAGTAGAAATTCACATTCATATTTCTTTATTTACGCTATATTTAATGTTAAATTAATAATATTTGTTATAGCTTCTTCTTCTATTCTTTTAATATGTGCATATGAATTATGACTCGGTTTACACTCCTCACATTTTTTACAATTCTCAAACCTAACTAAGCCTAAAGGTAATGAAATTATAAATAAAATACAAATACATAAAACATTTATAAGCTTATTCTTGATTTCATCCTTTCTTAAAAATTTTTTATATTAAATTTTTGCAGATAATATTCTGATTCATTATGGTTATTCTTGAAAAATATTTTGTTTTGAGATAAAATATAATGGCGAAAATAAACATGCTAATTACATATAAAAAATACGTCTAATAAGATTGTTGAAACGTATAAGTTAATAAAAGAACTTATAGTAAGACAAAAATAACTATAGAAAATAGAATTATCCATATAGAGGATGCTAGCAAAATATCCAATTGAGGTCGAGAAGGTTCTAGAAATTTTTGAATATCATCATATATTACACTGTATACTACAATATTTTTTATATAACCATCTTTATGCTTCCATATATGGGAGTTTGCGCAATACTTGGATTAAAGCTTGGTTTATTGATTTGTTCATCATTTGGATCATTTTTACTGAAAAAGCTTTAAGTGATGATAAACTTCCAATTGAAGAAGTAAGTCCGGCAACTCCAGAAAAATTTGTTTCTTAATTCTAAAAGCTCTTATCATTTTACTAATTTGAGTATGATATAAATGATTGTAAGCATACATATAACGACGTATAAAATAAGGTATATTTTAGCCAAATTTCTAAGTTGTTGCAATTCCTTATATTTTTTATGTAATTCCATTTTATAGTATATTTCTTCATTCTTATTAATCGTTTTAAAAAACCATTTAGAAGCTTTGTATCAATCTTTGGTTCCTTCTTTTCATCAATCTTTGATTCCTTCTTTTCATCAATCTTTTGTTCCTTCCTTTCATCAATCTTTGGTTCCTTTTTTTCATCAATCTTTGTCTCTTAGGTAGTAATAGCCAATTTTGTTCATTCCGTTAGCGTTACCCATATAATCAGATTTCAAATAATATTCTAAAGCTTTACAATCATTTTCTTTTACAATGTAGACATTTTCATAATATGTACTGATTTTAAGCATGTCATTTGCATCACGAGAGTTAATATAGTTTAAACTTAAATCACGGCCAATTTCTGCAGCTTTAAGAAAGTATTCTAATTCTTTTTCTTTGTCTACTTCAACTTATTTACCTTTTTGGTAACAATTCATATTAGCTAATAATTTAAAATATTTGAGTGCATTTTTTTCATCTTTATAAGTCCCAATTCCATTATAATAGCAATAACAACATTATAAATTGCAATATAGTTATTCGTTTTAGCTGCATTCATATAACAATTGAACGCCATTTTTGCACTTTGTTAATTTTTTTCTGTTCCTATGCCTTCTTGAGCAGAATCCAAGATAATTCAGCCCTATGGAATCAAAGCTTTCTACAGATTTTTCAACCCATTTTAATGCTTTTTCATTATTTTTTACTGTTCCTATACCATCATGGTAGCAAATTCCAAGGTTGACTTGTCCCACAGAATTACCATCGTTTGCTAATTTTTTAAACAATTTGAATGCCTTTATTTCATCTTTTTCAGTTCCTATACCATTCCTGTAGCAAGATCCTAGAAAAATTTGTCCAGAAGAATCTTCATTTCCTGCGGATATATTATGCCATTTGAAGGATTCTGCTTTATTTATTTTAGTCTCTATACCATATTGATAGCGGATTCCAAGCTGATTTTGTCCCATGGGATTTCCATTGTTTGCCGACCATTCAAACCATTTGAATCCTTCTGATTAATTTTTTCCCGTTCCTATGCCCTTGTAGTAACAGTATCCAAGATCGAATTGCCCTATGTAATTATCGTTTTCTGCAGATTTTTTAACCCATTTAAATGCTTCTGTTTCATTTTTTTCCATTCCTATACCAGTGTTATAGCTGATCACAAGCAAATATTGTGTGTTCTCAAGCGCCTTAATCAATGGGGTAAAAAGCGTCGGGAAATAATAATTATTTAGCGGAAAATAGTTTAAATTTGTCAAGCATGTTTATCATTAAGATGAATATGCATAATTGATAAAGCTTATTACGTAAATATGACATTTTTATTAATAA